TAAAAGAACGGAAATATAATGTAAAATATAAACAACAAATTATTTGGGTCATTTTTCTATAATTTACAAAATAGGAAGGGACATTTTTAAATTGTTGACAGAGAATGCTCTACACAATATCAATTTTGGGACAGTTTTGTTGCAGGTTAATAAATATATTAGATTTTATTAGACTGAAACAGTTATTGCTCTGACAACTGCAACAAACAATGTTCAAATTTGACATTATTATGACAATCAAATACTAGTCACCAGAGAAGAAATATGTTCAGAGGTTGGAACTTTTGTGTGGAGCATCATTAATGTTAAAGGCTTAATCTTGATTTTCAATATAGGCACTTTTAAATTTGAGGATCATTTAGATCAATGATTGATCCTTCAATAATACTTCTCTGCAGGGTATGTCCACCAAATCTATAAATAATACTTTGCTTGTCTGTTAGTTTGTCTGTCTAGTTTGTTTGTAGTTAATAAACGTCAGAACGACTGATCTACTAAACGGCTGTAATGTAAAACCCTAGATATGTTGACATAATATAATTCTGACTTCAGAGCATAAGTCTTTCAAGGATTTTTTTTCTTGCAATTTTGTCCAGTTTAACATTTTTAATTTCAATTTTTAATCTTTTTAAAATCCTCTTGCCACTGAAATTGCTATTTTTTCTCATGTTCTAAAAAAATTTTCTTCATTCTTGATACAAAAAAAAAAGCTGAAATTGTCCAATTTGAATGTGGGAAAGTTAGAGTTTTGTTGGGTCTAAACTGCTGTGAGGACTGTGGTTAAACCTGTTCTTACAGAACTATGTTAAATAAATTTAAACTTTTCTGATGTCCTTAACAAGACAGGTCTAATAAACTCTGCAGACAACACCATACACAGAACATTTTCTTAGAAAATAAAGAGAAATCATAGTTGTATCATTATTACCATTAGCAAAGTGAACACTAATATCAGTTTCGCAAACAGATATAAAAATTAGAGTTTGTGGCCAGTGCTCAGTTTATTTTGAGTAGTTTTAAATACTTGGATGCAAGGAAATCCAATTAATTTGTATGACATTTTAATAAAATTCATGCTTTTACAGAACTTTATTAATAAGAAAAAATGATCAGCCAAAATAAAACTTAAAACAAGTTTTGCCTCAAGATAATCATTAGATATCACATGAAATAGTAATGAATATTCCAAGAGAACAATATGCGGTACAATATTCAATCCTGCAGATTTGGGTTGCTGTATCTTATGCTTCACAAAGCAGAGATACAAACTAAAGGGAATATTAAAACAACTCCACTTTAGCACTATTTCAGATAAAATACATACAAAGCCAAAGAAATTTTTTGGCTCTTATATCCTGCTATAAATTATGATAAATCATAAAAGTATACCAAAAACTATATTTAAAAAATAAGTTTGAAAAGAATCGATTAATATTTAATTTCCAGATTCAATATCAATCCTAGTCCAATAGATTTGTAGAACTCAGGGACTTTTCCATTAAATATTCAATACTAAGGAAATCCATTATCTTTCAAACAATATTTATCCATCAGGGGTTTAGCCCCAATATATTAACCTTTTCTTCATGAAATTTACAAAAAAAGAACTTGTAAGTGTTTTATTATACAAATGTTAATTAAGCACAAAATAAATTTATCAAAAAGCTCAGACAATATTACAGAAATTCATTGAAATAAAATTTCAATAATTAAACAGAATAATAAAGTAAAATATTCTTAAAGTCAACCTTATTCCTAAGATTTAGAGAGCTCTCATCAAATATTCAAGAAAATGCATTCTTTCAAATTCCCTCAAAGTTTTGATGTACTTTATCTCTTATCTATTCCTTCTGTTCTTTTCTTTAAAAATACAGATAATTGCAAGTTTACTATAACAGCCTTCTCTTGCCAACAAACTTAACATCAAGCTTGGCCAATTTGAAAGGAAGGCAACAGAATTAGAGAAAATTTCTACATCAAGCAAATTTAACATTTCTAAAAACTTCTACAAAGAAAAATCTATCAATTTCCAATTTCTCCCAATTCTAAACAAACTATTTTTTAAAAGACTGTGTTCCACATTGTTTTCAAGACATTTCATATCAGTGGATTGTTCAGAAGAAATTTCTATATTGCGAAAAAATCTAATATTTCAATGTTTGATAAAATACTGTAGGAACTGATATCTATATTCATGTTAATATTCCTATAGAACAATTGTTATCAATGCTTGAGGGTTTCAGTCTCATTAAATATTCATGAATTCAATCTTGTAGATAAAGAAATCTTTATAAAGCCTAAGTAACTACACCTGCACCCAACTTCTTGAATAGAAATTGTAAGAAGTATTATTTAAAATTTTTTACCACAATGCAGATTAAACTTTGTATCTCTTTTTTCAGAATCAGATACTAAATATACAAAAAAATAAAATTTCTTCTTAAAAATGGAAATGAATGATCTGTATCAAAGGGCACGCAATATATAAGATATACATAGTTAAATTCAAAATAGATGTTGGTACCCCTTGAGACTGTTAAATCTAAAAGTTTCAAATGTTGAATCGTAAGTTAAATCCAGACATTGACTCCTCAACTCTACAGATATGATGATGCTATACAAATACTAGAAATCCCCTCTGGCATCGTAATATTGTCAAACTAAGACAAACCAAACAAACTTTAATGGTATTCAAGTTGTAAGAGAAGCAGATATATATATGATATATTAAGATAAAATTAACCTTTTCCAACAATTTTTACTACAATCAGCTTAAAATACAACTATGCAAAAAAAAAACTTTGAATTTGCAGCCAAGGCTAGAAATAATTATGTCATTATGTCTCTTAAATGAATTTTTTAATGAAAATTTATTTCTGAGACACAATTTTGGTTTATATTATAACATTTGAAGAGGATTTTTATTTTTAAAAGACCACCCTACAGGTTGCAAAATCAGCTGTTACCCACAGAAAGGGCAACTTTTTAAGTCAAGAAAACTACTTTTTTTAATAGCATACCAAGTACCTTCTAAAACTCATGCATTAATTTATCACAAAGCTTGTTGTTCGTATATTGTGACTACAAATATTCCTAAGCACTTTTTAAAAAAGTTATCTTTTACTGTGTACAAAGTTTAGTTAAGAAAGTTTATTAAATTTATTAGAAAATTTAAAATATAAAGCACTCTGTCATGGTGATAAATATAAAACTGAAAACCTGGCACAAATTGTTGACTAAAATTTAAATATAAATTTTCTTGCTAAATTATGAATATATGAAAGACTATCAAATTTCCCCATTCTGAAATTGTTCCCCTCTACATAACTATTAATTGAAATATTTACTGAAAATTAAAAAATAAACTCTTTTAAAAAATAATTAACTACCTAACTAATGGATCTTGGAAAAATATTGTTAAAAAAGTACTGTTTAATCTAAAAATGGCTAACTTTTTAATGGGAAAAAGCATAGTACTGATAAATTTTTTCTCTTAAAATTTTGTCTTTTTTCGATTGTTTTGAAAAGGTAAAGTTAGCAGTTTGCACCAATACAGACAATGATATTGGAAAACGTCAAGTTTGAATTTTACATTAGATTCTTATTCAGTTAAACCTTCTAGTTTGTTGATAAAACATACACCCTTAAGAAATAATTATAATTATCAAATTATAAAGATTTAAATCCAAACTTTTTGCAAATATGAGATTGAACTAAATTAATGAGGATTAATAGTTAAACTTAGTACTATTAGCTGACTATTGGTTGTACCACTTCCTTTGTTTAATCTCAGTATACCTTGTAATGAATTGGTTTTTACAAACTTTGTTAAGAATGTCCATCTTATTAAACTATGTTCAATGTTCATAACCGTAATAAACAGAACCCTAAAATTCTGTTTACATTTTAACCTAGTTTATCGCTACTAAAAAATTAAGACCTCTGAACCCACAAAATTTAACCAAAGTGAAAAATATCATAATTCAATGCAATATATTTGGCCAAGTAAAAAATCTTTTATTAACAAAGCTTACTTAATTACTTTGATTGAGAATTATCCACTAATGCTTTTCCCTGCAACCTATTTTCAAGTTTAAATTTAGATTTTGAACAAACTAACATTGAAACGTCATAACATTTAAGTTAAATCATGAGATCTATTTGAAGTGTTTTTTCTTTTGACTATCTATATTTTTCAACATAAATTATCAATATATATGGTGTTGAACCAAATATATAAATTTTTTATCCATTTTCTTAATATCTATTCTTATAAAAACTCATAAATTCTTTATCTTAAACTTGAATGCTAAAAGTTTAAACCTTATTAGAACTTTGTCGTAATTAAAACAAAGTTCTAATATAATTCAATATTTTTACCTTTTCTTTTATATAGTTTTATTCTTTTGCAGAGAATAAGTGAGCATTCAATAAACTGAAATCAATATTTAAATATCTTGTTACAGATCAAATTTCAAGTAAATATGGTCTTAGATTGAACATCTAAGACTTAACCTCTTGAGTCAGATTTAATTTAGTTGAACTAAGCATGGCTAGTTGAACTTTATCTCTAGACACTCTCTGTTTTAAACTTGATAAGCAGGCCATGTGACCAGACCATCCGTACCATTGTTTATTAACTTTTGCTAATCATTAAATCAATTATCTTGTAAATTAATTTTATTAAATTACATTTCATGTCTTAATTTGACATAAATGCAAAGTAAAAAATGAAAAAAAGTTTTAATTACCCGTCCAAATAAACCTTCATCAATAAATGGCAAAAAAATATCTTGCAGATTTCTTGCAGAATTTCAAAATTAAACCATTTTGAAGCTAGAAAAACCATGATACACATTATTTATCAGATATTGGATAAAGGTTGGAAGGGTAGGGTAGCATTTAGAATCTGTGATATTTGTTAAGAAGAAGTTTTGAAAATAAAACCTCATGCAAATATACACTTAAAGAGCCATTTTATTTTTATTCATATAACTAACCTTCTTTTTTAAACTGACAATCTGTCTGATGATCTTTCATTTTCTTTGCTGGACCTCGATGTTCACATCCTGCACCAGCATACTGGCATGCCACCAGGGTACCCTCACATCTAAATATATAAAAATAATAATTCAAATGTCCTGAGATCAGATTGAATGAAGTACGAAGTGTTAGAACAATGTAAGAAAGATAGTGCACTCTTCAAACAATTAGGTCCATAACCCAGAAAGCTGAGAATTTTCATCACAATTTGACCAATTTGACATCTTTAACATATCTTTTTCGCTTTACATAATGCGTAAACTTTTTTAATGAAAAAGTAAAAAAAAAGACAACTTCGTTAGTTAAAAGATTGTTAAATTTTAGAAAAAACATGATTAGATATAAAATTACAAAGGTACTATGCGTTTACTTTAAGTACTTAAAATCCATAACTATGAAACTATTCTGATGGATAACTAGCTGAAGTGCCAAGTGTTACCAGAAAATTTAAAAAAAATTTAGATTTTTAGAACAAAATTTCGAATTTTGTTAGCCCATGAAACCCCCAGGGTGCCCATGCCCATGGCTCTCTTTAAAAAATCAGCTAATTTGGTCTAGCCATTTGGCCAGCTCTAGCTATTAACATCTATGAATATATATATAAATATATATATATATATTTATATATATAAGCTATATAATAGCTTTATGATATAGAAGCTATATAATAGCTTTATGATATAGATATTAGATAAGGAAAAGTTTCAGTAATTTAGATTGCCACTCAAGAAATGTTGATATTTATTTCATTTTTATCCTTACAACTTTCAAATCAAGTTCCTTCATTCCTGATGATAATAATTTCCTAATTATCAATTATCCATTCTTTTCCATTTTCAAATACCCTTTACAACATTTTACCCTATACTTCATTTTTTTTTCTTTCACACTTTTTCACTTATAAAATCTTTCTATTTAAACTTTTATCTCCTTTCTTTATCTTCTATTTTCTCTTCAGTTTCTCCTCTAATCTTCCTTTGTAAGTTTCCCAAAAAAGTACTGATAAGATTACCAACTGTAATCGAATTTAATCTTCTTTTCGGGAAAAATGCAAACGTCAGAGTACATTTACAAGGTTCACCGAGAAATGAAAGGATGAAAGAAAATTTCTTAAATTCATAAAACAACAATTCAAGTTTAATTTGATGTTAAAAGGTTTTAACATCAAAGATTTCATCTGACATTTGAACACATCAACGAAGCAAATTTTGAATGAGAATATTTGTTAAAAAACGCTCAATAAATGTTTTGTGGAATTGAAATTCTTTTTTTGTTGTTTTTCAATTATTTAGAACTACATAATTAAAAGTATGATAATGGGACACAGCAATTGTGCAGTGTAAACAGACCCAATTCACTTTATTAGTGAAGTGTTAGTAAAGTTATTTGGTTTGTAACAGCATCAAATATTTCTATAAAATCGTCTTCCTATTTCAGAGTTGTCTGGTTATCACGGTAGGCAAGTTTATTTTTAGATTATAAAAAAAAAAATTAAAATTAAATTTTTATGTTCTGCGTAAAACTTAAAGAAAGATATCATCATAAAAGGAGCCATAAGAAATAAAATCCAAAATTATCCCAAAATAGAATGGGCCCTAAAATAAACCCAAGCCATGATGTCTCAGTAATTTACTTCATACTAACGACCACTGTTCTGCCCCCCCCCCCTCCACACCCCTTTCCACAAAACATTAAAAAGTTGTTTTCCCAATATATATTGCTAAAACTTTTCTTCTATATATTGTTTTTAACTTGATAAAGGAGGGGTAAAGGGTACATTTAACACTAATTGAAAACAATTCAGGTTCACTGTTCCTTGGCAATGTTCTTAATACTGGTTAAAACAGTGACGTCATTGTGTACAATGTAAACAAACTAGAACTAACGCTATTTAATTAGTCGCGTCACATGTTATTACAATTTAATTAAAAACAATAAAGAGAAATCCAAGACAGAGACATTTAAAGAATGAATTCGAAAACAAAATTCTACAACAAGGGGTTGATGCAATAATAAACTTTATCAAATAGTTTAATTAAAACCATGGCTCCGACAAAAAACTCTTGAAATGATGCAAGGATCAAAGACCAAATTAAAAGGACTGTACGCGTAATTCCAAGTGACGTTTTATATATAAAAGAGCATGCATGCCTGACTTCCAACCGTGCCCTAGAAAGCTTTTTATGTTCAAAAAGAGAGAGATGTCCATGATTTCTCTTGTAAAAAAAAGTTATGTTTAATTGTGATTTCTGTATAAGAAACTTGCGGATTTCTTGCTAAAGAAAAAAAGAAACTTTTACACAATTTTTAACTAGAAAAACGACGATTTATTACATATTTTTAATTAAATAAAGGTTTAAAGGGTACCGTTGTAAATCGGACATGCCCCTCTAAAAATTGAGGGTCACTTGAAATTATCCTGAAAGTTATATATTGATCCCGAACGTCGAACACACTAATTCTATATATTTATCCCAAACACACTATACACACAGCACAATATACTGTAACCCAACCTATATTTAAGATGATCCTCCAGGTTTCCTCGTTGGTTTGTTTCACTGCAGGAATCTGAGTTCGGGCAAACTACAGGCAGCTTATCCAGCAATCTGAAGTAAAGGAACATTCTAGTTTATTTTTTTATCAGAAACAGACCCTTGAAAGCCTGGAGAAAGGAGTGATGTTTAAAATAGGTTCAGTAAAATAAAGGAAATTGATACTCTTCATAGAGTACTGGAGACTATACTTAATTAAAACTTATCTTAATAGTTTTTTCATGTGAAGTTTGATTTGATATTAGGTTTAATTGGTTAACTACCTTTTTACTACAAGGTTTGATGGGGAGCAGGCTTAGAGGTTTACCTCTTTAATACAAAGTTTAATGGGGAGAGGGTTTAAAGGTTTACTCACTATTTAATACCAGGATTGATGGGGGACAGGTTTAGAGGTTTACCTCTTTAATACAAGGTTTAATGTGGAGCAGGTTTTAAGGTTTACTAACTATTTAATACCAGGATTGATGGGGAACAGGTTTAGAGGTTTATCTCTTTAATGCAAGGTTTAATGTGGAGCAGGTTTTAAGAATTACTAACTATTTAATACCAGGATTGATGGGGAACAGGTTTAGAGGTTTATCTCTTTAATTCAAGGTTTAATGTGGAGCAGGTTTTAAGGTTTACTAACTATTTAATACCAGGATTGATGGGGAACAGGCTTAAAGGTTTATCTCTTTAACACAAGGTTTAATGTGGAGCAGGTTTTAAGGTTTACCAACTATTTAATACTAGGATTGATGGGGAACAGGTTTAAAGGTTTACCTCTTTAACACAAGGTTTGAAGGGGAGCAGGTTTTAAGGTTTACTAACTATTTAATACCAGGATTGATGGGGAACAGGTTTAAAGGTTTACCTCTTTAACACAAGGTTTGAAGGGGAGCATGTTTTAAGGTTTACTAACTATTTAATACAAGGATTGATGGGGAACAGGTTTAAAGGTTTACCTCTTTAACACAAGGTTTGAAGGGGAGCAGGTCAACTGGTTTAAAGGTTTCCTACAGATGGGACAGGTACAGTTCACTCGAAGATACGCTGTCATACACGCCTGAATAATAACAATAATAATAATAAAAAATAATAATAGACTACAGATAATTATGATAATAATTATTTACGATAAGAAATTATGCAATAGAACTCTGAATCGAGATTAAACGATAATCAATATATGATAGCCGGACGTTTCACCTTCTTGTCTTGGCGGCAAATGCTTGATTTTACAGTTCTGGTAACTTGCTGAAACTAACATATTTTATGTTGGGATAGGGTTTGCCGAGACTTGCATATTTAAAAAAAAATTCCACAAAAAAATCAATTTAAATTGGATATGCACTGCATACAGTGTACAGTGCACTGTATACTGTGTACAGTGGTTGATGTAAACAACATTTTTACACATGTCCAGTTTTTCAATATTTGTCATGGAGAAACCTAAGCTGTTTTGTTTTCGGAAAATGCGGAAAAAATATTCTCCAGGATAGAGATTTTTTCCAGTACTGCAAGAATTATTTAGAGAATACTTACATTGGAAAGGGAACCAGCTCAATCGGCAAGAATTCTTGAAAGAAATGTTCGATTTAAACTAATTGTAAATTTTTTTGAAGGATGCAATTTAAATCTTTTATATAATCTTAAATATGTTTAACAAATAATAAATAATAATTTTTTGTCAAATTATTAGTGTTATGCATTACTAGAATGTTTAGTTCATTTCGTATCAACACTAATATTGAAGAAATTATGTTGTATTAAAAAAACAGCCCTGACTGCAGTTTCAGTAATTTGCCGCCAAGACAAGAAGGTGAAACGTCCGGCTATCGTATCTGTATACCTGACAGAAAGTATGACTACAGGGTGTATCTGTATACCTGACAGAAAGTATGACTACAGGGTGTATCTGTATACCTGACAGAAAGTATGACTACAGGGTGTATCTGTATACCTGACAGAAAGTATGACTACAGGGTGTATCTGTAGGATTAACAAATGGCTGGAGGCAGATTTGACACATTAAATCCTCGTCAACATCCTCCGAGTAATCGTAGAGATGAGGCTCATGCTGGGAGTGATGCTGTCCACAGTTCCTTAACAGATCAAATATTGATTAATCGATTGATTGATTGATTGATTTATTTATTAATTGATTTCTTGATCGCTTGGTTGGTTGATTTTACGCTAGTTTGTTTGATCACTTGCACATTTGATAAAACGATTGATTTGGTATCCAATTGATCACCTAATTTAATTGATTGATTGAAATATTGAAACATTGATTAAATAAAAAATCGTATAAATTGAAGAAGTTGTAAAAAAAATAGTCCTTAGTTCATGATTTGCATGTAACTTCATGTTCATTAAAAAAAAAGTAATAAAAATTAAAAATAAATAAAAATATTCACATTCTAGTTAAGATATGGTCTAACATTTTTTATAAATTGCGGCGATTTCAAAGTTTATAATCGACTTAAAAGTCCACATTTCATTTTAAAAAGAAAAACAATTAGTAATTAAAATAATTAAAAATGTCAAATATAAAAATTCATTTAAAATATGGGGAATAATTTTTATAAAATTACTAGGAGACAAAATTGTATCTCTGAGCTTGATATTTCTTTAAAAATACAGATTAAATTCATTTAACAATATTATATTTTTATGGAATTTGCTGAGGGAAAACATGGTAATCTGAAATACTAAATGAACCTGCAAACCCGGGGCCTAGTCACAGATTTCCGTCCGGAGCTCCGAACTTCCATTTTATCTAAAAATAAACCAAAAATTATATTATATTTTCTAAATGATCTTTTTTTAGTTTGCACGACAAATTTCGACAAAAATATTAGGTCATTATTCTCCCCTTTGAAAATACTCTAGCTTAATATTACTAATTTAAAAGAGCCCTTTATCAGAGGCGAATTGAGGGGGGGGCTATTGGGACTTAGCCCCCCCCCCAATACCAGTGAAATCTCTGGTTTTTAGGTGTTTTCATGCAGAGCCCCCCCCCCTGGAAAAAGCCTACCCCCCTGCACAAATTCCTGAATACGTCCCTGCCCCTTGTACCGTGAGATTTACAAAGTTTCCAGAAAATTCTGTTTGTTTTAGTACAGCCCTTTGTAAATCTTATTGCGGTAAGATAACTAAGCTTTGTTTCTTAAATGGGATAATGTTTCTTAAATGTCATGTAAAAAAAATTGTATTTAACAGAAGTAATACCAAAATTTTAATTTAAGGTTGTAAACCAATGGGGTTCCATTTCTAAAATCAAGAACAGTCCCTTTAAGAAGAATATATAAGTGCACTTCACTGCCCATTGCACAATAATAAATACTGTCATCTAGGCTTTGCTTCAACTTTCTTTAAGAAAATTCTAGAAAATCTACAATTTCCACGAGAACAAATTATGTATAAAAGTAAAAATTTCTCCTACAGTGTTTTAAGAAACTAAGTTATTTTTGAATTAAAAAGCATGCAACATTTACTGTGATGTCAGGAATTTTAGGTAATTTTACTAATATTATAAACGACCTTCAGAAAGTTTTTGCAATTCGTAGAAATTCAAGGATATATGTAAAGTTTTAAGACTTAAACCCCTCCCCCCTTGGGAAAGAAGGGGGATGTGCTTTTTAAGATCTGGGCGAAAAAAATGATTTTCAAGAGGGAATGATTTTCAAGACAGAGGGGGGAATTTCAAGAAAAAAATTATCCCTGTAGAATAAATATTACGTATTTGTCTGTACATTAAAGAATCTAATCAAAGCTATGAGCATCTTTTAAGCCAACGCCAAATGCAGCTTTTGTCCCCCATCTCCTCGACCCCTTCCTCCCGAGCTTTGCAAATGAATGCAGTAACAGTTTAACGTATATCTGGGATGAGGGGGTGGGCCGGCGGGTTAAGGGGGGATCTAGTAACATAACACTAAAATATTTTGTTTCAACCCATTTATATTCACCGCAATATACTTGTATTCCATCTCTCAATTGTTTTACATCGTCTATAATCTAACTGTGTCTCAGTATTAGGACAAGATTTACATTACATATTGAGAGAGCTTCTGTGGAGTGCTTCGTTCTCCTATTTTCATTATTTTTAATTCAGGGCCGGGCGTACTTGCAGGAATTTGATCAGGGATGAGGGCTAATATTTTTTTTTCTTTCCAGGAAGGGGGCCTCAGCATCAGGGCCTGAAATCCCACTGGAAATAATAGATTTTATCGATCCACGGGGGCTGAGCCCGAACCTTCCCCCCCCTCATTGGGTTCGTCTAGCTCTGACTTTCTTCATCGTAAAGTTGATTATCATTAACAACGAAAACATTGTTTTAAAACGTGTTCCCGTGATTATTAGGGGATTTACAATGATTTTAAATATGTACTTTAATTAAGGAAAGGATAGTAAAACTTTTCTAGGCCATGTCAGAGTACCCGCAATATTTTCAACCATCTTAAAACATGGATGTCGTTTTTTTTTCAGAAACCAAAACAGAAAATAATATAATTTTCCTAAATTGAGTTTAGCGAAGTTTGATGTTTTTACAATGAACTGCATTTGTTTTTACAGGGCGTGAAAGTTTCAAAACTTTAATTAGCTCCACAGAAAATATAGTTCAAAACGTAAAGTTTAAAACTTTGAAATAGATTTTATTTGTTGAAAATTGTTGAAATTAAAGATCTGCCCTGGCCGCAGCGCTCGGGGCCCCAAGCCTGTCCTAGCCGCAGCACTCAGCCCAGAAATTGTCTTAACCTAACTTTACCCTAAAATAATACAAAATAACTTAAAATTAATGGTCATGTACAAAATTGATGGACGGACGGACGGACCCTATTTCCGATCCCTGAATTATACTTTAAATAAAGCTTATCAATTGGCTTAATGATTTCACAATAATTTGTTGAGAGAATAGTTAGAAAGGTGCGCTAGGTGCGCCTGCCCTATTCTTTTACTGTAGAGCACGACCATCAAAATATACATAAAAAACACGGGACTTTCTTCACATAATAATAATATTCATTTACGATGAATGAAATAAGCAAAACATCCGAATGAAATAAAATATTAAGAACTATTGACGCACGAAAAGTAGAGAGTATATACATCCCGGAATACCTGTGGAATCAGCTGTTTTCAACCGGTGGAACCGTAGATTGGTAGATAAATAGATAGACAGATAGATAGATAGATAGATAAATAGATAGATAACATTTTTGTTTTGTCTGTTGGAATCAAGAAAATTAATTAAGGAAGCTTCTTGGAGCAATACCAAGTACCTCATTGGTCCAATAATTACATTTACTGAGTCAAAAGGACAGAAATGGAAACTGAAGAATTGAGGAAATGAAAAGGCAAATAATTATCAAATTCAAAGAGGTAAAAAAGTCCGAGACAGGGGCTTACCCACGGTGAGCGGGGACTGGAAGCTTGATTCATTTTTTTTCTTTCGAAGGGGCCTTTTGACCCTATGGAAACCATATATGATATCACTGATCCATGGGGAGGGGCTAAGCAGCTGAGCCAATTCATAGCCCCCCCCCCCTGCAGCACATCAAGCTGGGCATTTAGAGAAAAGTAAAAAAAAGAAAGAGAAAAAAGTATTAGTTCAACCATATAGATGTGTTAAAGGTTATTGTTTTTCAGAATTGAGTACTTCTGTAAAAATTCATTTATTATTGTTATTATATACAATAGTGTGTCCCACGAAACATAACATTTGGTATGTCTTCTTTCACATACTGTAATAATATATAATACTTTTTTAGTTTATTTCCTTAAAAAAAAAGTTTTTTTTGCCCATCATTTTGTGTTTCCTTCTAAGAGTCCAAAAACCGTCTTTATTTTAATTGTTGTAACTTTTTACCGAATTTGTAAAACTAAAAAATTATAAAGATCAAGTTTATTTTAATTTTTCAGTCCTATGATTTTAAGACCAAGAATTAAAAAAGTGAGTGTTTACCCCTGTGGCACATTATATATGAAATAAAGTAAAATAAAGAATTGAAACCATGCAAATCCGGGTTTATTTCTTAGAAGGAATATAAAAACTTTATTGTTAAAAACTTTTTCATAGGTTTCCATTCTTCTTCAAACAAAAATATATATGTTTATATCTCACATATTTTATATGGACAGAAAACTTCATATTTTTGAGGTTTGTATTTCTAATTGAATATAGTTTTTTGATTGTAAATTAATGCATACGTATTACGTATACTTAAATAAAAAAATAACTTTCTTGTGTTTTTTATGTATTTTGCCTTAAATACAGGAAATCCCAATAAACATGGGAATTCAGTGTCTATTTCGATATCGTCTTTTTAAATAATTCTTTGATTTTGTTAAAGTGATCCTTCTGAGAAAGCTATATAATCCTCGTAAGATTTTTGTCTGCTATGCTTACAATTTGTTTGTTTATGTAATTTCACTGCATACGATTGTAATTAGTAAAACAAGAAAATTACAGTATACAAACAGAGTGAGAGATTTGCTCCAATAAC